CACTGGTATCGAAACCCAGATTCTAGCGTTGTAAGTCCGCAGACATACCGCTGTGCCACTGGGGGGCACAAATATTTGTAAATTTACCACAAACTGCACTAAAGAACAACACTGGTTACAGCAAACAAGAAATTAATTTTTAAATAGAATCTTTTAAACAAATATCACTAATTAAAAACTCGTTTTATAGCAGTTTAAATAACATATTGGTTAACAGCTCAACGTATTTCTTGAGGTAGATTTAGGATAGTTTGATCATTTACATTTCAAACCGATCCTTTATTATAGAAGAGTGTATTAGATGTTAGATTCGTTTCCTAATTCCAACTTCACTCACACCATATGACTATCACATAGCTTAAAAATTCGAATTTTCCAATTTAAATATACTTACTTAATAATGACATTTATTGGTTTTGTCTTCACTGACGAAATATATCAATCTATTTCTAATGCACTAGCTTTTTTAAGACTAGAATAGATAAATCATATTTGACTACAGACGAGTTGTTTATAATCACATCCCATTTAATAGGCCCATTACTGATTTCAAATCTCAGAAGCATAAAATAATGTTTCAGATTGTTCATGTGTATATGACTTTCATCCATAACGGACAACTTAAAAGAAACTTAACCCTCAAGTTATCGACTCGTTTTTATACTGTTTACTGTCGTACATTGTGTCGCATTGACTAGTTTTATGTTTTTGTATATTAGAACATTCAGTGTAAAAAAACTGACCAAATTGAATGGATAAAGTAACTCATTTTCTATGTAAGATAAATAAAGGACCTCAGCACTAGTTAACGGGATTTATTGCAACATTCATGTTTTAATTTTTGCAGTGCACATTGGTGTATAGAAGATATATTAATACTAGAAATAAACGACCTTATAACACCAAAATGCTGTTGTTATTTAATTAGACACTCAACGTTTCGCTTTACAGCTTCTTCAGGAGCGTTCACTAAAACACAAACCATTTGAAGCTTTGTACTGTCACTAGTAGTGTCTAATTAAATAAAAACAACATTTTGGTGTTACAAGGCCGTTTATTCCTAGTATTAATGCTCATGTTATTTTTGTGCCTATTTATGTTTGTGTGACTCGTATATTACTAAAACCTCTTTACTAAAAACATCATAGACCCACAAGCAAGATGGTGTATAAAACTTTTATAAAAATGTGTTTCAAAAGCCGAATTGGGTTGGTTGCTTCTAGGGGCAATAAGACATTTCCAGTGTAGTGTGATTTTCTTTACGTTTATTGAGTCTAACGAGATTTCTTCATTTGGCAGGTTAGACATTTTACACCACACAATAAGTGGCTTTTCCAATTTCTTTTTCCTTCCAAATGAAAGTAATTTACTTTTTATTATTCGCAAGTGGTTCAACGTCTCTAAATAAATTCAATATCACAGATCACCATTTAAATGACATTAAACAGGGAGTCTCTTCACCTCCCCTTTTTATAATGTTAAAAACACATATAATAGGACATTATTCATTTCAAATCAGGAAAGAGATAGTCATTTCGAAAAATATCTATAACTGCATATACTTAACTTTTACTGTATGCGTTCTGTCATCGAAATTATTTTGTTTTTCTTTATTCTTCCTACAGCACCCCCATGATGATGACTACCCGCAGATTTTTGTCTCTGTTTGTAGCAACACTGCTATTGTTGCCCATGAGCACAGTGTGTAATACTTTGTTTCAAACAAACTTCGAAAGAAGAGCCGGAGAAGAATTCCGAAATCAGGAAAGTCTTTTGGCAGAGTTATTAAACTATAATATTGACCGTTTTCTCCAGAACGACAGTTATATAGACGATCAGATAGATGAAAGTGACCGTTTCCTGAAACCTAAGGTGTCACCTTTAGAGCTGTTAATAAGGGATCTGGCCAAGGCCAAAGAAAAGTATGAGCAGGCTGGTTTTCTCAAGGACAACGAAAACGAAGCAAATGTTGGATATCAATCTGAAGAGTTGGTCAAATCCGAACAAATTTCTAAACATTCTCAACAAAAACAGAATACTTCTTTTATGAAAGATGAAAATCATGAAGAACGGGATAAAAAATCGAGACAAGCAACAAGCGGCAAAGTAAACTTCTTTATATCAGATGAAACACCTCAAGAACAGAAGGAAAACTCGAGAATAGCAGTTAAAGATTACGTCAAACTGAAGCGTGGAGATCGGCCATCTTTGTCGATCGTCAGCCCACTTGACGTCTTACGCCAGAGATTGATATTAGAAATGGCTCAAAGGAAAATGAAACAGAGTCAACATCAGATCATAGCTAACGCCGAATTACTAGAAAACCTTGGTAAAAGAAATCTCTATCTGTCTAAAACTGGCCAAGCACTTACACTGAGAAACAGAAGCGTTCATTAAATACTTGAATAGGTAAACCAAATTTACCAAATATAGCATTTTAACCACAAATTTATTTTATTTGGAACAAATACAAGATTGTGTAGTGCGTATGAAATACTTAATTTAATGTCAAACTGATATTTTTACCTTGTTTTCATACTTTTCGGCTTTTACTTTTGTGAAGTCTAAATGTCTTACTATCTCATGGGAAAAAAAAAAAAAACAGTTTCTTAATGTACATTAAGACTTGACTTTAACTACCGAAATTCAGTTGATAATGACAAATAACATGAAAACGAAACATTCAACTTTATTGAGAGAAGTAGTTAGCATAGCAGTAAGTTTACTTCAAAAACATTTTATTTAACTTAGAAAGACTAGACTTTAACATAACGTAAATCTTTAACCAAACATAAAACATGTTTACCCCTTTTAAGTCATATATACATATAGTATTTTACACAAATTAGAGATCATGTATTCAAAACACACTGAGTTCCTTTTAGAGCAGGTATTTCAGAACTTCATAATGTCTGAAGGTAAAATAAACACGTATACTTTGAGCTTATATCTTTAATGCTTATGTGAATACCTGAAACCGATGTACTAATAACATCATATTTTTATCTCAAACTTTATCTATATTTAAATATAGATCTTTATAACGTCAGAAATCGAGTCTACAGCCAAGCACTGTTTCAAATTATATATATATAATGATGCTGCTTTATTGTGTTCGCTGTGTTTGGTATAAAACGTGCTTATATTGACTCACTTAACACGTCAATGGGTATTTGCTTATATTGGCAGAATTCAGGACTACATCTATACAGTATAGATCAACAATGTCTAAGGTGGTTAAAGAGTCCCATACTTGGATGCTTCCTCCACCAGGTTTAACCGAAGGCTGTAGGCAATGTTCCCTGTAATCTATCGCCATTTGTACGACGAAAGTACTGGCTATTGGTTCCAAAAAATCTCAAACTTTGATTCATCAGGCTAAAATACTCTTCTCCACAAACAGATTGTCCATTTTTTTGGGTTTTGTAAACATGTTTCTCCTATTTCCCTTTCCGGAACAAAGATTTTCTTGCCGTATTTGCATCTTTTCTACCCTTATTTACGCAATTTACGTTGCAATGTAGAAGAGTAAATGTTAGCCTCGCTAATTTGTTCAAATTTTACAGCAAGGCAGCTGCTTGATTATCCTCGCTAATTTGTTCAAATTTTACAGCAAGGCAGCTGCTTGATTAGCCTCGCTAATTTGTTCACATTTTACAGCAAAGCAGCTGCTTGATTAGCCTCGCTAATTTGTTCAAATTTTACAGCAAAGCAGCTGCTTGATTAGCCTCGCTAATTTGTTCAAAATCTACAGCAAGGCAGCTGCTTGATTTATGCCTCTCTCTCTACTGAAATAAGTCTAAGGTAATTAAAGTCTAATATGAAAAGCTTAGGTAGTCGTCTGAGCCAGCTCTCATCATTATGTACCATTTTTATTATATCTTTCCCACTGACGGTAGCCCTGTTTATATAAATCTATAATGTTGTGTGTTACTTCATCAGAAACTGTTCGCCCTCATCATTATGTACCATTTTTATTATATCTTTCCCACTGACGGTAGCCCTGTTTTTATAAATCTATAATGTTGTGTGTTACTTCATCAGAAAGTGTTCGCCCTGGAATCATCTTTCGCACATGAAAGTAGACTAGTCATGTTAGATTCACATTCTAAAGAAAATATCTACTTTTGACAGACCGAAATGATAACTCGAATGATCAATGAAAAATGTTTTATAATTTTACAATAAAAAATTAATAAATGTGTGCAACGCTACATGGTGTTGGATGTCAGTATAATAACCACAGCATTACATCTAAAAGCTACATGCTCCAGTTTCCAGAAACATCATTATCGTTAGTTCTGACACTGTTTCGTCTCATTTTCAGAATTCACTTAAACCAAACACATGACTTAGAATGTATTTTATATGAATAAAGGTTTTGGATTGGCATTCTTACATTATTTCAAACTAGAAACTTATTGCGTGGGAATCTGAATGATAGTCTCTAATTTATGTACATTGGTGTATATATATATATATATATATATATTAAATTCTGAATTAATAAGTTTTATACTATACTATTATATTCTCACGATACCTTGTAATATTTAACAATACTTAATTATTGGAGACAAAGGACTGCTATATTCCTATAGTGTTATATTTACTGTGAATTAAAGTGATAAAGTCATTGTTTTAATTTATAGATCATTTTTTCTATCATAAACTGTACAAGTCAGATTGGGTCAAATGTTTTATACCCGGTGAAATTACTTGCATTTCGTAAAGTTGGATGGTTGAAATTTGACTCTGTGTTACGTCCTCATTGAAACCATTTGAAAATCACCAGAATGAACGGTTTAAACTTGACTCTACATTATATTCTTATTGAAACAATTTGAAAATCATGAGGCTGGATGGTTAAAACTTGACTCTATATTATATCTTTATTGTAACCATTTGTAAATAATGAGGCTGAACGGTCGAAACTTGACTCTACATCCTTATTGAGACCATTTGAAAATCATGAGGCTGGACAGCTGAAACTTGACTCTACGCCCTTATTGAGACCATTTGAAAATCATGATGCTGGACGGCTGAAACTTAACTCTACATTTCATTCTTATTGAAACTGTTTGAAAATCATGAGGCTAGACGGTTTAAACTTGACTCTACATTATATCCTGTATTTTAAATAACTTTTTTAAAGAATTCTCAAACAAGACTATTAATATAGTCAACCAATCCCGTAAACTGAAAAGTAACCTCACAAGTAACGAGAATCAAATCCATTTATAATCTGAAAAAAGACACTAACATTAAAATTCTAAAAGCTGATAAAGGCCACACCACTGTCATCATGAACAATTCAGAATACATCGACAAAATGAACGACATCCTTTCCTATAAAAAGAAATTCAAAGCCATCCCAAACAACCCTACAAACACACACGAAAAACAATTAAACAGAACTTTATTACAAACGAAAAAAAGATAATTTAATTACTGACGATCTTTATCTACGTAAAACTGATTCACGCACACCACAACTGTATGGCATTCCTAAACCAT